AATTCCACGGTCTGATGCTGGGAATTATGATAACGACTATGGCAGAGGACTTCGGACAAGCTGCGTTCTATTAAGTAACCCTGGCAACAAGACCAAGTTGCGACAACAAGGGGAACTAACTTCTACAAATCAAACGGAGACTGCGATCATACCGAGGGCCACACCATCGTGGTCTTCATATCTTCAAATAATAATTCTAGTTCATCTCAAGAATTTTGGGGACTGATATTTTGTTTTTTTTCCACAATCGGATGAGTGGGACCTACGATGCAATTTGATTTTGATCAGAATTTACATAAAAGTGTGTAGATACGATGAGCAGATGGGTTTCAGATAATATCTTTTTTTGACATTGTTATGAAGACTTTCATTTTGTATAATAGTGCACGGTAAAGATATTCATTGGCTGACTTGATCGGTCGACTGCTGATTTTCGTCGTCCTACATTCTTCTGGCCGTAATACGATGTAGCATAGGCTTAAAAAAGTTATGCTTAGAGGAATCTCTCAGTTTATACTTTTCGGGGGACCTTCATTTCGTATGAAAGTGCATGAAGAAGAGCTTTGTTGGTCGATCTCGCCAAATGAGGACGGATGAACCTCGATGTACTGCAGCCGTTTGACTTTGATACGATATGCATGTTGACGCAGTCCACGATACTTCCTCTCTCGCTTCGTCCATCATTTGGTGGACATCATCAGAGCTGGGTGTCATTCTTGTAAAAGTCGTATGTATAAAAGCCAAACGGCTGAAGTACGAGATTCCTCCGTTCTCATCTGATGAGATCGACCAACAAATCTCTTTTTCATGCACTTTCATACGAAATGATGGTCTATATGTGTCATTATCATTTAAATGAACTAGCATCTTTTCTACAAAACTTGATTTAGCCATGACTACCACTGCTCCACCTTTTTCGGCTTTCGTTATGATTAGATTATTATTACGCAGATATCTAGAAATCTTTATAATATAATAATCTTTCTTAGGTGGTATTATATATTCAAAATGAGGTATCACCTCCAGTTCAATACTATTCCTTACCTCTTCTGGCAATCTATCAGACAAGCTAATTAATTCAACAAGTATTTCCAGAGAATGGTTCACCTCATTTGGAAGAGCAAAATTCAATTCTCTTTCCAATAAAAGTACTGCACTATCCTCCAGAGTTGTACCAGATAAATTGATAACCTTATCCTTCCCCACTTTGTAATAAACATGGTTAGTATGATTTTTCCAACTTTCTCTTCGTATCTAAGATGAAGGTCCCCTTGACAATGTTATCTCAGAAGATTCATCGAAACCAAGTTTCTCTACGTATAATTTCCATGCTCAACAATTTAATACGATGTTTATTGTTACAATCCACGAGCCAAGCTCAGCTTTCGTCCACTAGCCGGATATTCTTCTTGGCCTATTGTTACTGTGCTATTTTGATAATAATGTTTTTCGGCTCTGATGATGTCCATCATATGATGGACAAAAGCTCAGCCCGTTCCATCGAAGCAAGGGAGGATGTCTTGTGGACTGGATCAATCTGAACGTCGTAATAAAGCTAAATGGTTGAGGTATAACGCGATTTAGCCGTCATCTTCTGGCGAGATCAACCTGCGGATCTCTTCTTCATTCACTTTCATACATAATAAAAGTTTCTGCAACAATGTCATCCTAAGAGATACATCAAAGCCCAGTTAATCTTCATATCTACAAAAATGCATGGGTTTAGAATTTATACAGAGCATAAATAAATTAGTCATTGAGTAGTAGTGGAAATGATACCCCCATCTGGTGCTATTTATTATATGGGCAACGTTGGCTCGGTACGTTATCACCCAAATAGAAAAGGATTACCTCGTAAACAATGTTATTCAGAATGCTCCAGGTAAGTCAAATGACGGTTGGATAAAAGAAGTCCGACGTCATCTTCGGGTCAGCTTCAAAAATCTTCAAATACAACTTTCACTCAAACTGGAAGTGGACCAATTCAGCCTTCAGCCTTTAAATAACCCGAAGCGAGCTAAGCTGACTAAGTTCTTATATGAGAATTACCGATAGTATAAAATTCTACTCATATCGAAAATGAGTAGACTCATAATCCAACTTTAATATGTAATTGAGTAGAGTTTCGAGACTACCAGTAAATCAGTGACATGAGATGTATTAACTCTATTTCGTTTAAGGTGAAGAAGGACTGGTAGTAGAATTTTCCCACAATGATATCAGTAGAGCTGAAGTTTCCATTGAATTTCATATAGCCTTGCTTTCCAAAAGGTTGTTCTCATCCCGACTGGGGTGGACTGCAGTTTCGACCTTGCATCGGTCTTATCAGCACCCCCAGCGGGAGTCGAACCGTGCCCCCGTGAAATTCAATGGAAACTTCAGCTCTACTCATATCATTGTGGGAAAATTCTACTACCAGTCCTTCATCA